AAAACGTTCATCTTTCACAAAAGCAATTGTGTCTAGCTCTAGATCCATGACCAGCTATGACAGTAATGTTGTTTTTGGACTCCTTCTATTAAAATAATAATAAGCTGTTATTATTATTATTATCCTTTTAGATATTGGGTATTGTTTGGGCAGCAATTAACAGCACCAAGTACAGCTACTGTCACATCTACTTTTAAACAAATTATGTGTTCAATACTTATGTTTAAAATCGAAAATATAAAACACATAATTCCCGTAACAAACGTAGAAGGCCAAATAATTCTTTGACCTAAACGCTGCCAAGAAATTTACTTTTCAAAAATAAATAAAAACAAAATCATTTAATGATTTGTTGAAGCTACCACCATTCTACTACTTGAAAAATTGTGCATTAATGTACTTTAGTTTGTAATTGTATTTTAAACATACTTCTATTCTCTTAATCATAGAAATACATTTTTCAAAAACGGAAGCATTTACAAATTTTCGGATTACCGATTCATTGTCCAGTTCAACAAATATTTCGGATTGCAAATTGTTGAAAAATGTTCAACTAAATATGTGTATTAATGTCCACCATTCATCTGAGTTCGAACTTGGCCAGTTGCTGTTAATTGGCGCCTTGAAAACTCAACAAATGCCGATAACAAGCTACGCATAACAAAAAACCGAAAACGCCATCTGTGATGTCAGCCTATATCTACAATATATCTTGCGATATGTTGACCCAAGCAAATAAGCGTGAAAATTTCCATGAAAAATATGCTTATGAATATTTAAACTGGTCATCACAAATGTCTTTCTGGCCATTAGGGCGAACGGGTTGACAAAAATGTGCGAAGGTTAAGTTAATGGCAAGAAGAAGAACAGCAACAACAACTACAATGCGTGGGAACCAAAAAGGTCAGCCCATGGACAATGGACGCACCCAAAAGTCACGTGCAGCGCAATGCATTTGGGTTTTAATTAAAAAAGCAAAAGTGACTCGAAATGAGTTGCAGATAAAACTGCAATAACTGTAAAGAGCGGCGCTAGACTTTAAGTGCAGGGCGGATCTGAGTGTGAGTGTGAATGTGAATGCGAACGTGAGAGCAACAACTACCGTTGATTGCGCAAGGGTCAGGGTGACCGCTCTTTCAATTTCACCTCAGAGGTCCTGAAGTTGTGCATTTGTTTAAATTTTTGTTCAACAACTAACACACTTTAATGCTTAAGTATAATTTAATAACAATACAGTAAATGAAATTATATTTTCCAAACCTAGATATAGATATACAAACCTATTATAATGTAATAAGTATCTTACGATTTATCATTTTGTTTAATTACAATGCTGGGGCAACAGCTCTACCCCCTGATGAGGATTTTCGCTCAAAGAGATAGAAAGCTGGTTCAGCCAGATATTAGTCATTGCAAAGAACTAGATAATAGTTAATTCTAACATGCGTTCTATTCTTTGAAGTGTGTTCCAACATTATTGAAGACTAGTTTTCACAAAATATCTTCAATCGCAGACCATTACCAAGGCCCAACAAAGCTTTTTCCATCTTTCCACCCTTTTCAATACTCCCATTTATATCTCCTAGGTAGTTGAACCTAATTGACCTAATTGTGTGAACACGTTATATCAGTCCAGCCATTTAAACTTAACCTCACTTATGTGAGGATATTATATATAATTTGAAATAACAAGGAAAGTTTTTTAAATAGCTTTATATAAATGGACAGTTGTAACATAACTGCTTTGAATTTCTAGATTTGATATTCAAATTTTAGTCTTATTTAGAAGTGTTTCTGGGTTGCTAAAGAGCTCCAATTAGAATAAGATATATAAGAAAGAATAAGATGATCTTTTTAACTCCTGTTTCATTCATTGAAGCTTTCCATGAGCTCTAGCGGTAGATGTTTGTTGTCCCTTAAAAATGTTAGTTTTTGAGTTAGCTCTGAAACATAATATTAGCTACTATACAGCAGATGGTGCTCCTAAATTTTAGTCAGCTTCAGTCTACTCATTTCTATATAGCATCCATATAGAGATTGGTAATATATCTGCATTCTCATGGGCTACACCGACTCCATGTCTTGCCAGGAGGTCCCTGCTGGTTGAGAGTACAGCACATAGATAACATTACTAAGATCTGCATCAGGACTTACACAACATTGTCGTACGTTATTTAATAGTTCCATGTTATGGAATATTTTTATGTTTACTAGCACTCACAGTTTTCTAAAACCTAAGCTTTATCTCTCTCTCTATTTTATCAATTTTTGTATCGAAGAACACCACTACCATACACATATTATGGCAACAACATAATTTAATTTTTTATACACTTATATTAATAAACAGACTTTTAAATTGATGATTTATTGATCTGTTGTTATATTAGGTTTGAAAAAGATGACAAACAACAATAGTTGAATTTATTTTCAAACGTACAAGTGAGATAAAACTTTGCTCTTTAAAGTATTTGGTCACCCTAACTAAAAGTAATAGTTAAAGTACTTAAAATCGTAGTACTGGGGACCCAAAGGCGACAGCACGCCATGGTCCGGCTCGGTGTGGATGAATCGGCCAGCCTGGACACACAGACACACACACACACATATTGAAACACGCACGCACACTCACGCAGCAATTTGTTAAGCGGGTCACGTACTACCCCCGATGCCTGGCATTGGACGTCGGGTGGTTTGTGCGCCTTCTGCCACACCGTGTTGTCATCAACACGAAAATAAAAATCGAAAATTAAACTCGCACACAAATGGCAGCAGCGTTTTTTTGGCTTTATTTGTTTTTTTTTGTCGTTTTCCGCTACAAATCGATTTCAATAAAGTTTAATTTTTTATGTCAGCAAAAGCTGCGCTCGAATCGCTCCCATTTCTTGTCTTTATTGTTGCATTTGTGCTTGCTCCGTTCGTTTGTTTGATGGCAAACGACTTTAAAGACACATTAACTTTTATGCCGGCATACATGGACCTTGAAACGGAACACAACTCGCACAACAAATTAGATTTCAATAATTTAAAACAATTACAGAGTAAACAGCTCGCTCCCAAAATCTCAATGTCGACTCTCCTCGACTGAGCCCTATAGAGTTTTATTGGTTTTTAATCTAATTAAATGGCTATAAAATTTAAAAAAGGGGTCAAAGCGTGGCCTCTTTTAAATATTTTGTAAAATAAATAACAATAGAAGCACATTGTAGGGCCGGGCGCGAGCCGAGAGGGAACTACAACATATGCATGCCTGCTCGTATCAAGTGGCACATAAAGGACATGCACAAGCATTTAGATAAGCGAGGCGGGATGGGGGTGGGGTGTGGAAACAGACATGAGACCACAAAGTTCCTTAGACAGAGGGTGGAATGGAAATGAAAAGGACAGAGATGTGGGGAGAGGGGAAAGGCATTTTGTTTTTCTTGTCAAAGGGTTAATGAGTGCGTGAGACATGAAGGGTTAAACGTTAGCAGGGTGACATGAAGGGGCATGTTGCATTCTGCATTTCACTAATGACCTGCATTTCTGCCTTCCTAGTGCAGCAGGGCGATACATTTATGCCGCAGCGACAAAGCGACGAGGGGCTGAGTCCATCGAAGAGAACTGTGATTAGAAGAAGGCAGTCAAAGGAGAACTCGTTCCCAGTGGCGGGTGTGAGAATAAAATAAATTCGGAATTCGCAAAGAATTAAATATGCTTTCTTTCGAAGTATAGAATATATATAGAAATCATGAAAACACACACAGATATGGAAAAGAAAATTGCCTTTCGGGCAATCGATCGGTTAAGAATTTAAAATTTAACTGCCCTTTGTTTGTCGTTCTTGGAAAATTATGTGACACTGAAAGGAATAATAACCGAAGCTGCTTTTAACCTAAGTCAAGTAGCTCATCTATTTTTTTCTTTTTCTAACATACTAGCCTTTTCAATTATATTTCCACGCAGAATTCTACATACATATTTCTCTTCATATGTATTTCGAATAGAACCCAGAAATACTTGTAATTGTTCATCGTAAATGATAGAGAAAATTATTTCGGGCTTAGATCGGCATACACAATAAGCTAGAGTAGAAAGCTGTGGCTTTATTGAGAACACAAGCTGCAGCTTTCACGCTGCAATTCAACTTGAAATTTATGTAATAATAGTTTTCCAATAAAGTGCCTTTTGAGAAATCACTCTTCTTAATCTTAGCAGAAACACTTCCAGCTTTGTTCCACCGGCTGTAGATTTTGCTTCGTTTTTGAATAATATTGTTGGATTTCAAAAGAGATTAAATAGCCAAGCAAGCAATTGGATTGGTATAAAAAAATTCGGCTTGCGAAACATATTAATGACCTATAATTGACAAACCTGTTAATATTGTCGTGTCGCATTCGTTAACAGCAGTCAGCCGTCTCTCTTCTCTCCTATTCATTATATTCCTGATCGATCTATATTTACCAATAAACCAGTAGAACTATTCATCCTACATACTTGTATATGTATGTATACATTTTCGATGGGCTTCTACATAAATACCTGTTTTCAGCCTAATTCATTAAACAATTCCGACTATTCACTGATTATTTCAGGCACCACTAAACGTATTTATTATTATGCTGACTTATTTAGCTTATCGTTATTTTGTCACCTCAAAGTTAGTGACCCTTTTGATGCTCCCTCCTGAACTTGAACTACATTTTTCATGACTCACTGCCGATTCGCCTTATCACAATTGTATTATGGACGTTATCTGTGCAGATATAAGATATAATATATAACAGAAAAAAGTCTGTTTGTAATTCCATTTTCACTCCCCATTTACACTCTTAAGCCTCTACTTCAGAGTGCGTTCTTTCGCTTTATCTTAAAAATCTTTCAAAAAAAAAAAATAGTCAACAACAATTTTGCATCATAATCGAAATATTAATATTTCATTTGTTCAGTTCTCCTTAATTGGCCAGATTTGGTGTTAAATCTTTGTAATTAAAATGTTCTTTAAATGGGTCTGACAACAGTTTTAAAATTTGCAAGTTCATGTTTATTATTGAGCCATAAAATATGATAGGCTCTTAGTATAAATATAAAATATAATATATAGTTATCGATGTTCGTAATTTTAGTGCAATTTTTTGGAGTAGCAGTATTTTGAATTCAGAGTTATAGGCGCATGGCCATAACACGGAGCTCGGTGTGCGGCGGTGCCGTTTGAAACACCACTTGGCCCTGTTCGTCCTTGTAGTCTGCATAGGGTTGTGAGTGGATGCATTCCAGGCCCAAAGCCTGCAGCTGCCTCGCCGCATAAAAGCTGGTGCAGTATGCCACCAGAAGTGGAAAGCCCTTGGCCCGACCAAGAGTTATTAGAGCGGTGCCTAGGCGACTGCCCAGTCCCTTGCCGCGTATCGATGCATCCACACTGACTATATGTAGGTAGAGAGTTTTGGAGACCTTGTAACGCTCAAAGATATTGGCCTCCCTTTCCACCTTTGAAAGCAAGCGGTTTATACGACCCCAGATATGTTGCTCCATTTGTTCAGCCTCCCTTTGATGTTCCTCCACATCTTCCGGATACTTGGCTTCAGCCAACATGAGGCCCACAATGCGGCCAGAAGCATTGACGGCCACCAATGAGTAGCCCTGTTCAATGGTCGCAGCATGAGCGTCATCTGCCTCCTCCTCGTCGCACTTCTCTACGTCCTCATCGGATGTCAAAGAGAGCGGCTCACCGGTATAGAAATTGTGACGCAGAAAGCTCTTGACCTCGGCATGGTCGTTCAGCGTCATGGCGCGTATGCTTATATCCTCCTCTGCCATAGATAACCTGACTTTCTGACTAACCACGGGCGACTGAAAGTACTTTTTTTTTTTAAATTGATAAAAACTTGTAGCTCGCAAGCTTATCAGAATATTTTGAAATCTTATCAGCACGAAAGGCGCTCAGAGAGCAGCAGAAGCTGCGCTCTCCTCAATTCTGTTTTAATAAACAATTTCGTCGCATTGAATAATTTTCTGAGTGTGCCAACGAGCCAATCTTTTTATTATTCCTATTTGAAATGTTTATAAAATATGCAAATAAAAGCAACAATTTTAATGAGGACAGAGCGTCGCTATGCTTATCAAGAATAAATACAGTTTGTGGGGTTTGTTATGCCCTCACCGTTGATTTGGGTATAAACAAGAAGTTTATAGCTATATAGACATCTATATAGTCACCCGCTTAGTCTCTTCTCTCTAATCTTTGTTTTGATGTCATTGGACATATTACTTTTAAAATATAAGCACATAGTCAGGCAGAATGCTTTTGAGTCTACCAACAAATTTCTCTGACTAACTAAAGAGCGGTTGAACCTTCCTCAACCCCATATGGTAGGTCAGACAGCAGCTCGGTAACTCTTAAATTCCACACTTCACCAACGACTTGAAGCCTTAAAGTTTTCGAGGCATAATGGATAGCCAGCACGACCACACCCCCACGCCACTCTGATTTGCTGAGCTGCGAGATTTCCCCAAACTGGCCGCAATTTTCGCATCTCGCTTAGCCAATTTCTTTTCATTTACTTTTGTGGACGAAGGGATGCCAGCCACCCACCACCCACTGCCCAGTTCAGTGTTATTGTTGTTTCCTTTTTCGCACTAAAACTAATTGTTATTTTATTGTGTTTGTAATCCAATACAATGCGTAACTCTTAGTCTAGAGCGACGCAACACAACAACGAAGCACATGCGATACTAAAACCATATGTATCTGCAAGATACATTAACGGGCACACTCACACCAATGCCATTGACTTTGTTTTGGCTACGATTACGTAACAGATGCTCGCCGGCTTTCCCTACCATCTGATGGCCAACACGCATACCCCGGTGTGGGGTCGGGGCTGTAATATCACGCGCCCTATTAGTTCCCCTGTTCTTAAAGAACCGGCTGACCTGCATAACCTATATTTCAAATGATATCAATTTCTCAGGATAGTATTTTCAGTCTTAATGCTTTCTTTAAGTCGTTCATAAGTGAACCTTTGATGCCCTAAAAACTTAAGCGCATGTCTAAATAATTAACTAATCTAGTTCAGAAAAGTTGGTGTCAGGGGAATATTCCATTGATATAGAAACCATTTCAGATAATTTCAAAACTTTTCTCTGAGTTCGTATCGTAATAAAGAGAAGAACATTGTTCGATCGTAATGTAAATAAAAGAAATACAAATATGTGTGCCAATACATAATAAACTGACTCTGCTTCTGACAAATTTATTTTGGAACATTTCTTTGAAATCCAAGTTGTGTCTACATTTTAAAAATGGCATAACTTATTTCAGCTTTATTTAGACCTACTATATCTACTATCTTTCGACACAATTAGGAGTAGCGAAGTACAACTTTAAAGAACAATAAACAGTCTCCTTAAAATAATTTATTTATCCCATTGTTTTCGTTTACTTCATATGTTAAGGACCATACGTTGATTAGATCTATTTGCAAACGATTTAACGCTGGTGGAACTCAAAGTGATATCAGAATCCGGATCTGGGGATTATCCACAACTCACTAACCTACAACCTCATGGCCATTACACGAACTTCGTTGTGTGGTGCTGGTGGATGGAAAATCACACGTCCCTCTTCGTCTTTGTAGTCCGCATAGCGAAAAGAATAGGCGACCTCCATGCCCAAGGCCTCCTTCTGGCGCGCCGAGTAAAAGCTAGTGCAATAAGCTATCATGAGGGGGAATCCCTTGGCGCGGCCTAAATCCATTAAAGCTGTAGCTAGTCGCGATCCCAGTCCCTTGCCACGCATTGAAGAATCCACGTTGGTGATGTGCGAATAAATAGCTTTGGAAACACCATAGCGCTCAAAGACGTTCGCTTCTCTCTCCACCTTGGATAGGAAGCGGTTAAGGCGACCCCAGAAGTGTTGACCCATATTCTCGGCATCTACTCGATTGCTCTCGAGATCGCTTGGGTAACTGGCACCAGCCAGCACGAGACCCACGATGCGTCCAGATGGCTCCACTGCCACCAACGAGGTGCCTTGTTTGATCAGCTTTAGGTTGTACTCGTCTGTGTTTTTCTCATCGCACTTCTCGACATCCTCATTGGACGACATGCTAAGAGGCTCGCCCGTATACATATGTTCGCGAAGAAACGACTTAACCTCTTTGAAATCCTCGACCGTCATGGTGCGAATCTTGATAGAATCCTCAGTTTTAGACGACATGTTGAACTGTTCAATACTAACTAACTATAGCCCCCAAAAAAGTTTTTTGGGGCTTTTATATCATACCTCTTTGGCTTATCAATTCCAACGGGCTTATCATATCACTTGCACTCAGCTGGCCTCTTATCGTCAAAAACAAGAAGTAAACAACAAATAGTGCCATTAAACATCGCGTGAGGTAGAGGTCTTCTCTATTAAAGCAATTTCTATTTATTTGTCTAGTCATGCTGATCTTAAAGATATGTATACTTGTATAATTATGGGACTGGATATGTTTTCTTCTACTGTCTCTTTTTACCCTTCAGGTTCATAATGTGCTTTATCGATTGAATTCTATATATTTGTTTCGATAATTCTACAACAATAACAAATCTTGTTTTATTGCCTATAAGTTATACTCATTGAGTTCTTTTTTATTATCTTCACTTCGTTTTCCAGTGCCAAGGTAGTGGGCTCACTAAAATCTTCCACCGTCATGGTTCGATTATGAATGCCATCCTCAGGGCTGGCAGAAAAAAGCGTCAACGCGAAGTAACCAACTAGAATTGTTATCGTACTCTCGCAATATTATGCAATACTTCCTCAGTTATGGTACGACTTTATTTTCTTAGTAATGGCCGGCATAATGAAAACTTGAACGCGTTTCCCTCGCGAGATAATTATTTTCGTACTCTTGAAAGATTATTAAATACATCAACAGTCATACATAGCACGATTTCTATTTCCTCATCAGTAAAACGTCATAGATGTTTTCTCTATTATGATAGTTATTATTTTTACATATGTCTGTTTCTAAGAAGATGAAAAGCCTTTTTTGGTACTCTCTGCCTATGGGTGAAGTAATTATAAAAATGTTAAATTTTAACAAATTAAAAAGAAAAAAAAATTCTAAAAACAAAAAAAGAGATCGATTATACATTCGTCGAGTTTCGAACTTATGCAAGACAAGCGTTTTTACATACAAACAATCAAAATATTATAAATAAATAAATATGTAAAACAACAGATAAGTAAATAAGTGATTTTGTTTACTTTAATTTGCTGTGACTTCTTTACTTAATAAATTAACAATTCTTTTTTATTTGCTACTTAATGCATTTTCAACTTTAACATCAGTTTTGATTAAGATTCTTAAGAGTATTTCTTATTGTAGTTTTGGATGTTATGTAGAAAACAAAAGACGTCAAAGAATTGATAAACAGTCTCCTTAAAATATGTGTTTTTCTACTGTAGCTTTTGTAAACTTTACATTATTTACGACATACTTACATTGGCTAGCTGTTTCCTAAACGATGGAACGGCAACAAAAAATGGTACTAAAAGCATCATTATCTCCAGATATATTGAACTGCTAAGTTAACTGGCAGCTTACTCACTACAACCTCATGACCATTACACGAATGGCATCATGCGGTGCCGGTGGATGGAATATCACACGTCCCTCTTCGTCTTTGTAGTCTGCATAGGGAAGAGAATAGGCGACCTCCATGCCCAAGGCCTGCTTCTGGCGCGCTGAGTAGAAGCTAGTGCAATAGGCCACCATGAGGGGGAATCCCTTGGCACGCCCTACGTCCATTAAAGCTGCAGCTAGTCGCGATCCTAGTCCCTTGCCACGCATTGAAGAATGTACGTTGGTGATGTGAGAATAGATGGCTTTGGATGCACCATACCGCTCAAAGAAGTTCGCCTGTCTCTCCACAACAGATAGCAAGCGATTGAGGCGACCCCAGACATGTTGCTCTGCAGTCTCCGCGGCTACTCGGTTTTTCTCAAAATCACTGGGATAGAGAGCACCAGCCAGCACGAGACCTACGATGCGGCCAGATGGCTCCACTGCCACCAACGAGGTGCCTTGTTTGATCAGCTTTAGGTTGTACTCGTCTGTGTTTTTCTCATCGCACTTCTCGGCATCCTCATTGGACGACATGGTGAGAGGCTCGCCCGTGTACAAATGTTCGCGGAGAAACGGCTTAATCTCTTTGAAATCGTCCACCGTCATGGTGCGAATCTTGATAGAATCCTCAGTTTTAGACGACATGTTGAACTGTTCAATACTAACTGCACTCAACTGGAAAATAAGTAGGCCTTTTATATTCACGCCTCCCTGGCTTATCAATTACAACATGCTCCCACTTAGTTGGGCCCTTATCGTCGAGAACGAGAAGTAAACAACCAACTAGTCACATTAAACATCGCGTGAGGTAGAGAGAGGCTTGTATAGCTTGCTATCAGTGTAATTTAAACTATTATGTCAAATATTTATATAATACGACTGTTTGTGGGGCCAGCTGATTTGATAAGAGGCAGATTAAATCAGTTATGACAATGAATTGTCAACCAAATCTTCATATGACCTTAACTGAGTGCTCCAATAATAGAATTCGCTAGAGGCGTGTTTAGTCAATTAAATGAAAACGAGCAGACATGTTAACCCGTCCCTTGGATACCCTTTACTTTTAACTAAGAAAAACTTAACTGTACCAATCATTCCAATAGCTTCCTACTTTGGTTCTGATTAGACTGTAAAAAAGCTTATGAATAGAAAATAATATCTGGTTTGTAATTTACTTGCTCTGCACTAGAGCTTTATACGGGAAATCTCGCTTATTTATACTATTAGCTTACTTTTTGATGCATTTACTCGCCGCCTAATTATATATATTTCAGAAATATTTGTTTATTATTGAAGTAAAAGTTTTAGCTTTAGGCTTTGCACGTGCCTTAAAATGTCAATATTTTTGGTCACACGCAACTACATACAAGTTGTCTGGGAATAATCGGAATTCTAACATTATTTTTGACATTAAAATATAAACAATATGGTGGCTCTTCATTAAATGAATAAAAATTTTTGTAGAAAATGTTCTTTAATAGTGCAGTTGATAAATTATTTATTATACGTTTGTTTCTCAAATCCGTTTTTATTTTCTAAATGGAAGAAATGCTGCGCCTTGCAATTGATGGGAACAAGTTTTGAAATTTAGTTTGAACTCAATTATTGTGCTCTTTTTAAGCTATTAAGCTTACTTATTTCTACTATAATTACTAAGAAACCAATACTTCGAGGGTTGAAATTCTGAGAAAAGAATGAAATAAACACAATCAGTTTAAATTTCTCTCACAATATTTATGGAAAACAGACAAAAGCCAAAGGTTAACAAACTGTATTAATTTTCCACTCTAAAATAAACAAAAAGTACTAGGAAGGAGACTCGGCCAATTGTTGACTCCGAAAACAGAAATACATATGCACATGCCCTTGGACATGACTGCATCGTTAGTTTCTTCCGCTCTGAAGCACACAAACCTGCACAATACCCTTACGGCTGTAACAAAAACTGTTCACTGTTAAAAATTAGAGACGCTTTAAGCAACAACAACAGCAATGGGGTCTGGGCTCGTAGACTTGTGGGCTGGTTCGGCGCGTCTGTATATTCCCAAAATGGCAAAAACCAACATAATTTACATGTCTGCAGGATAAGTTCGACAGAGGGCGATGGGTAGAGGACGTAGCATTTGTCTGGCATGTCCAGACAAGCGTCGTCTGTTGGTCATGTCTGTTTTGTCAGTGCAGTTGTTATTGCAACTTTATTGCTACTGTTCTATATAGTGTTGCTTCTAAATGCAAGCGAAAATTGAACAAAAATTTACGACCAGGACCTGTGCTGTTTGTTGAATGCTCGAGGTCAAATTTTGCCCACGTCAATGCTTTATTATGAATAAGTTTATTTTAGAAAATACTGCTGAAAAAATTTGCATAGCCGTCGGGTGGGAAACTTGAGCCTAGCAATGTTGATTGTTTGATTTTTATGTGCGGTAGCACTTTGATTTGATTTGAGTGAATTAAAGCTTTAAATTAATTTTTACGAGCGTTTGTAATTCGATATGAGGCAGGCGGTCAAAAGTTTCGACAGGCATGTCCAAAATAACTTACAAGCCCATGCCAAAATTACTAAATTCCTATGCGCATACATTAGGCCCAAAACCCGACCATACTTACTAGTTATATGCGAACTATGCGCCTAGCATTATGCAACGCAACGCAACGCGGCGCGCGCAAAACAAACAAAACCGCAAACTGGCCACTTTAGTTTTTGTTGTTGCTGTTGGTATTATTATTGTTACTATTGTTGTTGATGAGCAACCGCTAGAGATGTGTTTGGGCCGTGATAGCAAGTTAGTGTGGATTCTGGTAATTGTTTTCTAATATCTTTATAGTAACGACTTTTTATTAACAAAAATTCATACACATTTTATTTATTTTTCTATAATAAGATAAATATTATCGGTTGCATATTTCGAATATTGTTTCCAGTCTTATATTTCATTTATTGTTAAATCTAAATCGCTTCAGGGAACAGCAAGTTCTAGAAAGAATTAGATATAAGTGCTTCAGTAGCTTATTTAAAGTAATATGTGTTCTTAACCTATTAATATGTGCTACTATACATTATTATTCATTAATTAAGTATTATCATAATGTTTTAGTTGCACTAAAGACTCATTTAGCAGAGTTTCTTTGGTTCCGCGTTTCTTAAGAAAAAGTTTTGATACTCATAAAGAACTAATATTAGCTTGCAGGCACGTTTTCTGAGTTCTACAAGTAGAGAAACAACAAACTTAAATCTGATAAGTTGGAAATTGCAAATTAGTCACGCAAAGTTAAGCCCCTTAGAGCCCCTTTAAAGCTCGAATTCTCCGTGAAAACTTGCTGCCAAATATTAGATTTCTAGCTCTTACCTATCAGTGAATACAAATAATAATAATACTAATTCAAAATGCAGATAGTTGATTAAAATGAAGACTTACAACTGCAAGTAATTATCAAGTAAGTTATGATTTTCTCGTATAGTAACAAAACTCTGAAAGTATTGGAGTTTTGACATTAAATACCATATCTGATGTAAATATAAATATCTATGTATCTTGAAGGCACTTCTCCATTTCACTTTTAACAACATTTCCCAATTAACTTTACATATTCCGCGATTATATATTTTCAATTCACGGCGCACTGTCATCTTTATTAGTTGTCCCGTTTGATGGGCGCATAAAATGTAATTGCCCCGCTGGAACCTGACCCCTCGCCAGATGCATACTTTTAGGTGCAGCATCCGCAACATTGCAGAGAACATGCCAAAAACTCGGAGCTTGCGCAAATATTTGGACACGGGCTGTCGGCTGCCGGCTGGAGGATTTTTGATTTATGTTATGCCCGAAAAAAGTTGTGAGTGACCCAATTTTTGAGTTGCAACTAATTAAAAGTGAAAAGTTGACAACATTCTCAACTGATTTGGTGTGATTTATGACAGCGTCAAAGTTCCCGACCGCAACGAAAATTAATCGCAAATTGTGCGGTTCGAGGCCAACGATGATGATGATGATGTCGATGGCGATGAAAATTCAATCAAAGAGCACCAGCCCCATTGTTGTTGAGCGCCAAATTGAAAAGCGCACTCAAGGCCTGTGAAAATCAATGGCCATTAGCGCAAATTATGGCATAGAAGAACGAGGGAGTGAAAAGCTGAAAAGCGAAAGGTTGAGGCAACATATGCCCATCTGTGCGGTCGCCTCTTGTTTATTGTCTGACTGACCCTAATGAAGATTAATTTAAAACAAGTGCCGTCTATGTGTGTGTATGTGTGTATATATTTGAACATACTACTTATATGTATATCGGTAGGGTCCTATTGTGTGCCAGCGCAACATTAAAAAAACCACTCACACACAATGCGTAGAAAACTGAACAGAAACTTTGCTTTTTTATGACGCACTAACGAAGACAAGCGTCCGTCCGTCTGTCTCTTCATCTAACTGACTTACTAGCCAGCTGATTGGCTGATGAAGACGACAAGTTTGTGGCAGGCACTCGGAAACTATGCTGCGAGACGAAGTAGAAACAATTTAATCAAATGATTCTCGTTGCCTTAGATTTCCAACGCGATATAAAAGATACGCAACAGCGACCCTAGAAGCCAGGCGTTCTAGGGAATGCAACCGAAGATAGATATATAGACTTGAAACAAATACCCTACACAAAGCAAATTTAGTAAGGTTAGTAGTCCTAAAGCATATCAACAAATCTAAGCGCTTTCAATCTTTTCATTTAATTCAGTTTCAACGAAGTTTTTTGAATACCTAAAAACAGAAACTGTTTAGCATTGGGAAGCATCTGTATTTAAATCTTGATACTAATCGAGTAGTGACTGGAAAGTATTACTTCTAACTGATATTTTGATATAAAACAAACACAAGTGATAGTAACTGGTTTGGAATTACAGATTTAAAGCATTTAAAAAAATGCTCTAAAACTGTGGTAAACAGCGTTTAATCCTAATGTCCCTGTCCTCTTTTTAGGTTTACTTACTACATTTTTTTCACATCTGATGCCTTTTTATTTACTGATATTTTGAAATATTGGCTGAGAAGCGCCAGAAGCCTATTTAAATTCATTGAAGAAAATTTACAGGTACTTTTCAAAATATTGTTGTTAACGCTTAGACTATTGAGAACAATTGTTTACGCATTCTTAAAATATTAACCAAGATTTCTGAAGACTTCAGAAGCAACAGTTGCCGAAGATTGGAGTTTTGAATCATTTCAGTTTTCTTTGTTCTAACCACCTGTCTAAGGTTTGCAAAATGAATTGGTTTATACACAATAAATTAAAATTATTAAAAATTATTTGCAATAAACTACAAATGATCTTCTAAAGTCCGAATGCATTTAGGGTTCATTCCACCAGTCAATTACTAGCACCTTGACTATTGGATCCACTTTGGAGATTAAATATCTTCCCTTGTATTATTCATCTTCGACTCAAAAGCATAACTACGCACTAAAGCTTGCTCAACTCATTCAACTCAACAAACTGCTGAAGAAATCTATAGTGCCACAGCTTGTGTAGCGCACAAATCTGTAGTTAATGAAAACGTGCACTAAAGTTTGAACTTCGACCGAGCGCTGGAAATTAGTCTGATTTGGCTGGAAATAAACCCAGTGCTGGCCAAGTAGCCATGCCATACAAGAAATTAGGTA